CTCTAGGTGTCTCTGGAGAGAGGCAGAGACAGAGAAAATGAGCAGTCACCTCTCCCCCTCCAGGGGGGATGGCCACATTACAATCCCTTCTCCATTCTCCTGGGACCTTGGGCGTGCACACACCAGCATGACTTTCAAGACTCTGTGTCTGAGACTTGAACTGCGATTGGCCCCATGGGAGTCCAGCGGCTTGATCTCCACACCTGCTGGCCCCACCTGTGACATCTTTACTAGGATGTGAGGTCAAGTAATTTAAGTGCCAAGGTCACTTTTTTTTTTTTTCCTAATTTGTGTTAGATTCTACTAAACGTGGGGTCCCATGTCAGAAGAGTTGTCTTGCAAAAATATTTGCCGCAGTGAAGAACTTTCAGCTTAAACCTAACAGCAGTAATTGTGTGTTTTGTAGACCAAGATAAATAGGGTGATGAATACAGATTTCCTCTGGAGAGATGTTTTAGTGTTGTGGCAGCTGTTTCAAACTCGGCCCGCAGAGTAATCAGTAATTCTCTCTTTTCTGACAGGTGTCTGGAATCGGCACTCGTAGAATCTCTACAGAAGGGTCCGCACAGCAGCTACCGAATGCTCATTTCCTGCTTCCACGCGTCCAGAGCATTCAGCTCTCACAAAACCAGGTCAGTGCGCCAGACTTCCTAGGAAGGCTAGCAGTCCCCACGCACTGTGGTCCTCCCCATTCACAGTCCTCGTGCCGAGCCCTTTCACGTAGAATTGGGCTTTACCGTTTCCTGCTTTCTGAGAAAATCCTGAGCTACACATGGAGAATGTGCTGTTGGAATCTGCATGGGTTTTTGCTATCGGCATGTGTGGTAGAGAGGGAACGTGAGAGATCACCTCCTGGGGGATGTCCATGGCAGTCCCTTCTCCGCTCTCCTCTTCGGGTTTTGGGCATGCACACATGTGCATGTCGGCTCGATTTCCAAGCCTCCAGGTTTGGGACTCGAGTGGCCGTTGGCCACCATGGGAGTCCAGCACCTGCTGGCAACTATAACTTTCTTTTTTTTTCCTTTTTTTTTTTTTTTTAAATGATAAAGGTTATTATTTCTTTCATGAAAGAAGGAGGGAGAGTTAAACAGACAAGGACCCCCAGAGGGTCTTTGCATACCTTGCTCATTCCCCTCCAGCCCCTATAGCTAGTCAGGATCACCTTGTGCCTGTGCCCTGCGGGCTCAGATTGACCCAAGAACTGAACCAGGGCCTGCCCCTAGGACTCCAGCACGGCACAGTGCTGCCCCTGCCCTTGCCACCACAGAGGCCCCCATGTACTTTTTTTTTTTTTTTTAAGATTTACTTAATTTTATTTATTATTATCATTTTTATAATTTGTTAACTCACTATAGGGGATGTCCACTGACCAGAGGAAGACAGATTGAGAGAGGGAGGAAGGGACGGAGGGAGAGCAAGAGAGAGAAGGAGGGAGAAAGTGAGGAAGCAGGCCACCAGGTCTGGGACTTGAACTGCAGTTGGCCATGTGGGAGTTCAGTGCCTTAACCACCATGCCACCTGCTGGCCCCCACTTATTAATGACTGTGTAGTTCACCCAGTGTTGTTCCATCCCCTCCCGTGGTTTTCTTAATCTTACTGTTGGTCATTTGAAATGTTTCCGGCTCTTTATTATTGCCGTTGAGGCATTCACTTTGTTTATAACTTCCTTTGTTTTGAGCTGTCTATTTCCTTGGGGTGTGTATGTTCTGTAAAGAAGAGTGAATCTGGCATTGGGGACTGTGAACTGTTTTATAGGCTTATTAAATGTTGCCAGGCTGTTTTTCAGGGAGATGGACTCTCAGTGGTCACAGCATGGCACGTCTCCACAAATCTCTGAACTGTCTCTCCTCTCATCCTGTCTGGATATGGCTTAATAGGAATAACTTTTTTTTTTTTAAGTTTGCTATAGGGCATATGCACTCACCCGAGAACAGTCTCGAGAGAGAGAGAGAGAGCGAGAGGGAGGGAGGGAGAGATCATCTCCAGGGGAGATGGACATGCTGTGATCCCTTCTCCATTCTCCGCTTGGGATTTTGGGCAGGCATGCACGTACACATGCCCACTGTGATTTTTAAGCCACCAGATCCAGGACTTGAACCATGCAGTTAACCATATGGGGTCCAGCGCCTTAATCTCCATACCACCTGCTGGCCCCAGGAAAGAAACAGTTTTGATGTCTCAGTAGGTGGATGGTGATGACTTTAACTCCTTTGAATACACATTTTATTAATAGCTTGTTGGGTTGATCCTTTTTCTCTTTGATTATTCAGATTTCCTCATAGCTATGGGTAACTTCCGTAATGGAAAAAATGCTCAAACCAGTACTTTATGCACCTTCCCTGCCCTTTCTGATCGGCAAATGAAGAACATTTCCCAGAATCTCTAATTGGTAATATTAGTACCCAGGCTGCTGTGTGCCAGGCCTCGGGCCAGGGCTTCCATTTTCCTGGACCGTCTATTCCAGCAGGGGGAACACTGGAATGTAATATAATGTTGAGACCTTTGTCACCGAAGAGACCATCCTTGGGGAATTTTAATATTTTCATTTTTATAAAACAAAAGCCTCTCTTCCCAGTATTTTAAAGAAGATTCCTTTTAATTTTCAAATTTGGTTTAACCAAAGCCATTGGGGATGTATTGGAAGGTTTTGAGCAGGTTTTGATGGGCTCTGACTTGTGTTTTGGAAAAGGAGCTGGCAGGGTTTGAGCACGTCCCATTTGCAACTTCAGCCTTATCTCTGGCCTCTCCTTTAGCAAAGAAGGGCAGCTGAGCGTGGCCAGGTTTCCTGGTGCCGGGGTGGGGAGTCTGAGTGCCAGGTGCCGTGTTAGTGGCCATCCAAGCTTTGGGGACAGAGATGGTGTTCAGATGGCCTCAGTTCAAGGGTCAGTTGATGGACACGTGGAATGAAGGGAGAGCAGAAACCCACCCCAGGAGCTTCAGAGGGTGCTGGAGCCCAATCTGCCGGCACACCCTGTCTGCATCCAGGTGCCTGCTGCCCATTCTAAATCCAGGCCGTCCTCACTTCCCTCCTGGCTAGCTATAATCACCCGTAACTGCTCTGCTAGCATCTACTTTGTCCCTTTCCTAAAGATGTGCATGGGACACGTTCATTACCTGCGGAAACCTTGCGTTGCATTCCCGCGGGTCTTAGATTCCAACCAGAGCCTTCTGGTGGCCTCAAGGCCTGTGGCTGCTGTCTTTCCAGTGCCATCAAGTGCCGCGCGCTCAGGTTTTCTGCCTCACAGTCACCAGAGCCCTCTGCTTGCTGACCCACGCCATGTTCCCTCCTGCCCCGGGGCCTCAGTGCCGGCTGTTTCCCCACAGTGTGCCCCCTCCCCACTTTTCCCCCAAGTAAGTCTTACTTCAGCCTTCTTGTCTCGGCTCGAGCATTTTTTAAAAAATAATTCTTTATTTAATTTTATTATTATTATTGTTTAAATTTGCTGTAAGTCTCTACAGCCATGTGGGGGTCATACCACCTGCTGGTCCCTCTTCAGGAACTCTCACCCTCTCTCTCCTTGGAGTTTCTTACCTTAGGACAGGAATCTTTCTTTGATATTCGTGTCCCTCATGATGGGATGTACTCACCCCTTTCTCTTCACTTTCTGGAACTGAAGCTCCAAGAAGGCAGGGTCAGCCTGATGGGGCTTCCGAGGGTCTTTTCTGTGCTGATAGGCTGGGGAGGTTTCGGCACCAAGGCAGCTCTGTGACTGTCCTCACAGAAGCAGGTTTCTGTTGCCTTTGGCTCTGTGGCCTACCTTGCTGGTGAATCGGGGTTTTTTGTTTGTTTGTTTGTTTTCTTAATTAAGATTTTTGTCATAGGGTACATGCACTCACCAGAGAGAGAGACAATGAGAGGGAAAGTGAGAAATCCCCCAGGGGATGGCATACCACAGTCCTTTCCCCTCCTGGGATTTTGGGCATATATGCACACGCTCCCTGTGTGATTTTCAAGCTGCCAGGTCTGGGACTGAAACTGTGGTTGGCCATGTGGGAGTCCAGTGTCTTAACCACTAAGCCACCTGCTGGCTGTGGCCATTCAGATCTTAGTGGTCTGGTTTTTTAGTAGCTACTAAGCTCTGTTTCTTCTCTTTTTTGTATTTTTATTTCTTTTAAGTAACTTTATCAAGGTGTAACTCATGTACATAAAATACACTCAGTGAGTTTTCATATATTCACCGAGTCGTGCAGCTCAGCTCCTCTGACTTTAGCGTGTTCGCGTTGCCTCAGCCCCCAGCAACCCCTGGCCTATTCTGTGTAGTATGTCCGTTCTGGCCACTGCACGTAAGTGGAAGGTGTGATCTTTTGTGATTGGCTTGTTTCCCAACTTAGCGTGTCGTCAGGTTTCATCCGTGTCTTTCTTTTCTTTTCATTGCCAAATGATACAACAGTGTGTGGACATATGTCTTGGTTTAACCATTCTTCATTTTGTGGACGTTCGAGTTGTTTGTTTCTTTTTTTTGGTTATTATGAATAATGCTGCTGTAAACATTCAAATACAGGTTTGTGTGGGTACTTCCTTTCTCTTGAGTGTATACCTAGGAGTAGAATTTTGCTGGGTCATACTGTGAACCCGTGTCTAATGCTTTGCGGAACTGTTTTCTAAAGCGATTGCATCAGGTCACAGTTCTGCCGGCAATATGTGAGGATGGCGGTTTGTCAACAACTGGGCCAGTGCTTGTTATCTTCTTTTTCCCTTTAAATAGCCATCTTAGTGGGCATGAAGTGGCATCTTGTGGTTTTCATTCACGTTTCTGTGATGACCAGTGACATTGAATAACTTTTTACTTACTCATTGGTCATTCATGTACCTCCTTTGGAGAAGCGTCTCATTTATAGCCTTTGCCCATTTTAAAATTGTGTTGTCTGTTGTAGAGGAGGAAGACTTCTGTATTCTGGACATTGAACCTTTATCAGCTACATTATTTGCAAATCTTTTTTTCCACTCTTTAGGTGGACTCTTCATTTTCATTTTATAAAAATTTATTATTTATTTATTTGAATTTGACGAGAGAGAGAGACAGAGAGAGAGAGAGAGAGAGAGAGAGAGAGAGAGGGAGGGTGGGAGAGAGAGCGAGAAAGAGAAAGAGAAAGCAGCCAGGGCCAGGACTCAAACCACAGTCGGCCATATGGGATTCCAGCACCCTTAACCACCACACCACTTGTTGGCCCGACTTTTCATTTTCTTGATGATGTCCTTTGAGGTACAAAAGTTTTACATTTTCATGAAGATCAGTGTACCTATTTTGTCTTCTCAATTTTTTTTAGTAACATCTAAAAAGGAAGATTTATCCCATATTCTTCTAAGATTTTAATATTTTCTTTAGTCCTATAGTTTAGATTTATGTTTATGACCCATTTTAACTTTAGTATATGGTGTGAGGTAGGGAATTACTTTGATTCTTTCGCATGTAGATATCCAGTAGTCCCAGTACCGTTCGTCAAAAAGACAATTCATTCCCCTTTGAGTTGCACCTTGGATTCTTTTGTTTGTTTGTTTTTTCGAAAGAGAAATTTTTGCTATAGGGTATGTGTACTCACAGT